TTCCATAATAAATTTAAAACTTAGGGAGGCACCTGTGCCTCAAAGGAGTAGGGTGGGAGTAGGAGTAGGCCCCTCAACTGGGCCTGAGGCTCATAATAGAGCCCGAATAGAGCCCATCACAAAATGGAGTCACTGCTGCCTCTTCGTAGCATATATGTTAGACACTCAAGTAAACATCCCAGGGCCTGCACACAGCGCTAGAGGAACAATGTACCCCCAGTGGGTCCCTGCTGTTCCAGAACATCACCCAGAAGGACATGGATACTACACCCTGCAAACCATAAATGCAAATTTTGACACTGACCAAGTAACTGGATAGTTGCACGTGTCCCAGTGATTCTTCTCTGACTTCTGGGTCTTGGGAGGGGTGGTGTTGGTGCCATTTCACATGCAGGCGCCGCCAGGCCTGGACGGTGCCTTTTGCATTTCATCCCATGTTGGCATTTGGGCATCTGGTGTAGGACGTACATAGGGGAGACAAATTTCTAATGATCAGAATTTTTTTCATGTACCTATACCCTATAGATGTTGGATGCAAAAGAAGAATCCACCTGATCAGAGAAGTCAGCATGGGGAGATCAGTCTCAGACCAGCCCCTCTGTGCCCTCCCATGGACATGACCCTGAGAAGGACACTTTAGGACTCAATCAGGGCCTGGCCTAAGAGGCTCAGACCTGGGGCTCCTGAGTCCCCGGACCTGGGGAACCTGTGGCAGGACTGGCTGGGAACATGGATTCACCAGCTGTTCGAAGGCCATGGCTCCTGGAGCTGGTCAACAGCCAGAGCCTGACCCCACAGCCTCATTTGGGCAAAGGCAGAGTTGAGTCCTTCACCTGAAACTCAGCCGGGAGAAGACAGGTGAACAAGCTCCCCAGGGCACCAACCTTAGGAGACTCCACAGACAGTCAGTGTCCCCAGGGGAGGAAGAAGACAGAGGGTGCTCCTGGAAGCCACTCGCCCACCAGGGATGAGACCCAGGGAACCCTCAGAAGGAGGCAAATCATAATTTTAAAATTCTTTCACAATAGGTCAAGCCACAAGCCATTTGCTGTTCATCCTATCATGTTAGGAAACTGATGCACATGAGGATACAGTTGCTAACGAGGGTCACACCGCCCATAAATGCTAAATTAGTCATTCCCGGTCTACCTGCAGCCACTGCCACATTCTCTCCTCCACCTCTGGAGCTTTGTTAGATGTCTATGGGCCCAACACCAGCCACTGGTTCAGCTCCTTTCTTCTTAGTCGTCCATAACTTGACTACAGAGGCAGAGCCTGGTCTGAAACAAAATCAAATGCAGAAGCAAAGGGTTTTACTCCAGAGCTAAATCTCCTGCCTCAGCAAGCAGAGTCAGGGCCATCAATGCCCAGGACTCAGCCCCCCACTGCAACTAGACTCTAAGCCATGTTCTTCCTGGTGTGTCCGTGTCACACCCACCAAGGACACAGACCAGGACTTGGCTCTCCCTCTCCCCACTCACACCCTGCACCAGCACAGGGCCCAACATGCCACACTCTCAGTAGTTCTCTGATGAAGGAGGGAGGGATTGAATGAATCAATCAATGATCCACAACCTCTTCAGAGACTGGATCCCGGATGCAGAATCCTAGGAGGTTCTGACCACACCTGTTCCCTGTCCCTCAGGAACAAGTCCCATGCTCCATCCCTTTGACCCCTTCCCCTACAGCCACCAGAGACCTTGTCTCACATGACTCTGGGGCTGCTTAATTATGGGTGTCCCAGGGGAGGCATCAGTCTTGGGGAGAACCCCACACTTCTATCTCCCCTCCCGGAGCTCCACCAAGCTCTCCCAGTAAATATGAAATAAAAGTGCCCTCATGCTTCCTGTAGGGGGAAGAGCATAGTAAATATTTTGAAATAAGACAGAACATCTGATTTTCTAAGCAAGACCTGCAGGTCTATTGAAAATAAATGGTTATTTTACAAGAGCCTAACCT